TCGAAACCTCTCAACCACCCCAGAATTTGTCAAGTAATTTACCCGGGATTACGGAGAGACAATTGCGGGATCAACCAAATCAAATTATCCAAGTGTCGGTCTGTTTCAATGGCTTTTCTCAATTACGGGCTCTACGAGTGCCCATAGCTTGAAAAATGATTTAGTAGATTCTTGAGAAAGAATTTCTATTTTTCACAAGTTTCACTCAAAGTTATGGGCTTTTTACTCCCATTTTTTAAATGGAAATTACTGGCATATACATTTTTTGGGAAACTGAAATGATTAGAATTTACAACTTAATCATAAATTACGGCTTTCGTTAAACCCTCGATTAAGCACAAGTTAGGTACATATTTATTACATAATTGGACTAAAATCTATAGTTCTCGACGATGTTCTCATTAATTAGTGAATTCTGAAATGTTCGAATTTCTGTGGACTTACAACCGCAAAAAATCAAATCCAAATTACTTCACGGTCCACAAGGCAATCAATACAATATGCTTTTTAGCGAATCAAGTTCATGACGCACAAACTTTTCGGTATAGCATCCCTCCCAGATTGACCCAACAAATTACAACTCAATAAGTCTTTCGTTCATTTTTCATATCACCTTTGATATGTTTTTATAATATAAAAAAGCGATGGAAAAAGCGGCTAGTACGCGGCACCCTGGAGGCTGAACAATTTCACGGATTAAGCCCGGAATTACAAATTTGAGCACGCAAAGAGGAAAGGTATGAATCGCGGCTATCTAGCTCTCGACCGAAAAAAAATGCACACTGAGAATTAAAAAAAAGCGAGTAACAAGGGGAATGTTACCGAATTTCATATTACCCGTTCATCAGTAAATGCGCACATTATTTGAGCTCGTTTCCTCCCCAGTTAGTGTGATAAGCAGGATATCCAGACTAGCGGTAAAAAAAAACACCACCAACTCGTCCTGGAAAATGATACAAAAGATTGAAGTAAAAACGAGAACAAACGCAAATAGCGCGAGGAAGAAAGCAGTAAATGCAGAGGTTGAAGATAAAATAAATGAAATTTTTGGGAGAAATTTAATAGCTCAGATAATTCCCGTGGTAATTTAATACCAGCCGAGCTAATACGTTTCCCTCAGTGGGATAAAGAACATTTAACGATTAATCAGACTCGACGATGAATTTGGGAGTTCCTGAGGTATTCGTGATCTCCCAGAATCATCGATCGCGATGGGAGATTGGCTTGGTAAAATTGATGAAGAAATATCGCAGTTAAACTCGAACACATTAACCGTTTCAATCTGCGATGGCCGTAGCAAAGGGGGAAAAAATGGGAGCGAAATGGGCTCAGGTGATTTTTAAACACAGTAGGATGAGCAAAAAAAATATACAAGAATTGAAGCTCTCTTCATCGGAATAAAATGTATATCTCCGCCATTGCAAAGGGGATGATTGTACATTCATCACGTGTTATTAAACAAGGTAACAAAAGAAGACCATCTTTCGCGGCGTCTAAAAAAGGCGGGTAGATAGAATCGACTAACTAGTATACTCCGGTGCGATGATAGATGGCCTGGAGGATTAAGCATCATGGCCTCCGTTGAGAGTTCTCTTTCTTTATTTCATCTCGCATCGTACATTTATCTCTCTTTCTCGAGTTTAGTCTCCGCCTCATGCCCTTAACTGAGCTTCTCTCTTTTCTTTCATTCTCTCAGTCGTATTTCCTCACCGCGAACACTGATGAGGATAAAAAGCACGATAAGGAGGCACGAAATGACGTAAAAAAATGGGATTAAATGGATTACCAGCTCGAGAATTACGATACTCATTCTCGAGATTACAGATGTAATATCTGGTATTTCTTTATTTTGATAGAAACACTGAGGTCACGTGTCTATCGATTATCTTCAAGACGGCGATATCCATCTCAATGCTCTCCGTTTTTTTGTCACTTTTTTTTAAACAAAAAGTTGGACAATTATCCCTCTGTCAGTCAACCCCGCCCGAAATGGCGGCAACACCACTGATTTCCGCCGATTGCGTAAAAGTCGAATACGTCTACATCCCCCAGGATCAATCACTGTGCAATTCTGTTTTTTTTTTTTTCTATCGAAATTGTTAACGGGTGATAAATAAAAATCTATTATTAATATGGGGTATTTCCAGTGGAGGGCAACCGATATGGATATCGAACGATCGATCATTTTTGAATGAACTAACTTGTCACCGGGGATGCAGAATTTTTTCAGTGGGCTTTTGGTGATGTGTTGCCCAGCCCTATAACAACATCGACTTCCGGATGCATCCGAAACATCAATTAAAACTCGCTCGTGCGACGCAACTACTCCCGTGCGTCGATGTACCCTGCCATTTTATACGATCGTCCGGTGTTTTTAATTGGATTGGAGAAAGACGGCGATATAAAAAGGATGGACTAGAGTGAATAGAGAGAGTGTAATAATGGATGCCTAAAAATTAGTGGGAGGGCGCAGGGAAAAAAACTATCCTGCCGGGGAGTTTCGAAAGATATAGGAGGGTGGTGGAATTAATTGAATTAATATGAATGACGTTTTATTCATTGGAAGTGGATACTCTATGAGAAGTTTCAAGATATGAAATTGCAGAGGAGATATGCGGAGTGAAAGATTTAGATTTTATGATCATTGGTTAATTGCGTGAGGTTAAGGGGTTTTTAGTCCGAGGGAGTCTTTCTGGGGAGAACTCTAGAGAAAGGACGAGGAAAAATCCGAGCTAGGATATACTTATAGATCATATCCTCGTCGCGCCTTCCGTGTTATTTACGTTCACTTCGTTACGTGTTGTTAATTATGTATTCAATCAATTTTAAACGCATTGAAATGAATTCAAATTGTAGATTAATATTTAACGGACAGCGCTAATTGGTTGGGCAATTATGCGATGGTAATTAAAGAGTTGGCGTAGGTGCTGTCACTGGGGGCGCTGATATTTGATTATTTTTCGTGATTAATAAGCGGAAGATTT